TCCCATTTTCCTACAAAAATTGACACGATTCTTCATAAAAGAATGACACTGAAAACTGATATCTTTTGATAATGGGCAGGAATGTGTTAGAATCTTAATAGCAGTTTCTGTCTTTGATTTATCATTCCATAGAAACACCATAAACCTGCATTGATTTCTTTAAAAAAATCTAAGAAATTAATCCTGCATTCCAGAGTGGTACTGTCAACCCTGAACCTGACCTGACTAAAGCCATTTTGAAACTTTAGTGTTGCCACACAGGAGCTGAGGGATAGGGAGTGGGGTATAGAGATAGCTTGGGTTTTGTAGCCAAAACAAAATACTTTCTCCTGGGAACCAAGGACATTCTCACACCTGGTCAGAGAGAGAGAGAGAGAGAGAGGAGGAGTAACATTACCAGGCAATCAGACAGCACCTTGATTGGACCATGTGACTGATTGGGGAAGGAGAAAAACTTTTAATTAGGTGAAAACCGCGGGAACCTTCAGAGTCGGTTTTCACCAGAACTCTGCCAATATGATATATCCAATAAAACTTCTTTGAGGAATCTACCTGCCTTGGAGTTTTGTTTGCTATGGGTGTATTACTTGGAACCCTGATAGGTACTGCTAAATGAGCTGTGCTGATTACTAGTATGTTTTTGAGAGTAATTCCAAGTCCTGTTCGCTATGGTTTTCGACCTGAGTTTGTAGGGGACTGAGTTTTCTCAATACTATCTGCCTGGTTTACTTAGACAACTATGGAGTGCTTGCTAAGGGTTCCCAACTACCAAGGATGCGGTGTGAAAGGGCCAATGACAGTCATTTTCTTGGTTGATTGCTCATTGCAGTGGAGTAGTTCCACCCTTATGGGCTTCCAGAAGAGGGTGAAAACATGGCTCTTCTAGACATTAATTGCATTCTGGCTTTACACTATTTTTATTGTGTAAATTTGATATGCTGCCTAGAATTTGGTTTCTGGCTGTCAAACTTCATAAGTAATAAACTATGTATGGTATCCATATATCATGTAAATACAGGCTATGTCATTAAGGTACTCAAAATATGTTCTTACCCTTTACTAACCTGAGTCCAAAAACATGCCTCCAAATGCTTAAAATTTCCAAGCTCTCCCGGAAGCTAAAATTTGACAGTGTTATAGTTTAAGGTGTCCTTAACGGGGGGTTTATCTGTTTCATCAGGGAATATCCCAAAGGTGCTTTTCCAAAGGCAAGTGGACTTTTTTTGTTTTTTCTTGAAGACATTTCGCTTCTCATCTAAGAAGCTTCTTCAGTTCTGAGAGAATGGTGGAGAATGGAAGGACATTCTCCGTTCTCATCTTATTGTGAGAAATAAAGGCCACACTCCCAAATGGCTGTATCTGCAGACATTCAAGGGAGGTTGTAGATCAATCTAACCTGGGTGGGACCAACTACAAGGGAAGTTGTAGATCAATCTAACAAGGGTGGGACCAGCTTCAAGATATTTCTCACTTAATTTTCTTTTTGCTGTATCTTCTGCGTGCCAAATACTTCTTCCACTATTAAAGTTATCTTTTGCTATGCAAGCTAGATTACCTGAAGGTGTAGCAATTTTATTTAGCAATCAATTACTTGGCATTTTAAAATAAAGCTCAACACTCTGTACCATTGCAGTTTTACATTTTATTAGCAGTACTTGTTTTTGCACAGAAAACATTTGAGAGATTGACTGTCGTGAATATTCTAAAACAAAATCTTCCTTTCCACAATATGACAATAGCACAATTTGATGAGTTTTGTTAGAAAATGGGAAGGCTGTATATTTTGTTTTAAAACAGTTGCTTTTATTTGAAATCCACCTATGTGGCTGCAAAAAATGAAAGAAAAAACAGTGAAATGATAAATAACATTATGAGTGTTCTACATACTTTTTCAGTAACTTGTTGAGTGGCAATTGACCATTAAAGAAATAGATGGCAGAATTCCACCTCTTCCAATAATACAAATCAGTCTTTATGAACAGAATACCCAGACAGGTTCACCCAAGTTGTTATGCCACAAGGAGGTTTGATTTTGCCTAATCTGTGAAATTTACAGTTGTGATTTGTAAACTACAACATCTGTGGTTTCAGGACAGGTCATTCAGCCTTTCTTTTGTAATCTGAACTTTAGGATATACATGTTAAGGAAAAATTGAATCACAGTTTGAAATATCTATGAAACAGGGGCTAGAGCCACACAGTAATGAATTTGTTTTTTTTCTTCTTAGTGCATTATGCATTCATAATGTCTTTGTTTTTTCTTAGTGAATTATGAAGCCAGCATTATGGTTTGTAAATTATGGTTTATGATATAGATTGCTATGCAAAATTAATTTAATAAAACATAAATAAATAAATGCCTCGTTGAATATTGGTCCTTCCTTCTTATGCTCCACTCTTCTAAGCTTTCCAGCAAACTTAATGCTAGGATGCAACCCAACAGTTTCAAGAGGTGTCTTCTGATGCAGCTTTTTCCTTCTATGTTGGTATATTGTCCCCAGTTGTTTTCTATTGAAATTCACATTATCTTTATTGTTATTTACTAAACAAAAATCTCTTCCTGCAAGAGTTTTGAACCAGCTGAGGCAAATAAATGACAAGTTCGCAATGAGCAGTTTGCTACAGAAAATGAAATAATGAAATTCAACATACCCATGATATTCAAAAGAGGTACCAGAAACTCAATTCAGCAATTTCTTTTCAGGCAAAAGACAATGAACAAAGAAAAGTACAGACTTTAGTTTAAAATAATCTTTACAGGTTTGTCTCTCAGCTGAGAAAATGCTTCTAGCACAGAGCTGTTTGGGCTTCAGTTTGTTTTGTCTTCAGGCCACCCTGCCTTCAGATGCTTTACCCACAGTACTTAATCTCCCATCACTTGCCAAGGAAAAAAAATTAACTCCTTAATAGCTGAAAGTTCCCACTATGAAGCTAAACAGTGTATACTGTGTGATCCCAGTTTCAATGCCCAGCTACGCCCAGCCTTATTGAGCTAAGGCTCAATTTCTGGCCTCTGCTTTCAGCAATTCTATCTCTGGATCATCATATGCTTCCTGAAGAAACAAGACTCCATTCCTAATCTTCCAAAAATAATCCAGCAATTTTGGAGCTGGAAATGTGGTACATCAATGTTTCATACAATATTGCTACTACAATTTTTATTGTAATTGTTTCAGGCTGGTATCTTTACATCTGTTATTTTTCAGTACTAATGTTATGGCCCGCTAACTGCCAGCAGAACTGGCAGCAGATTCAGATGATGAGGAACTTGGGGAGGAACTTGGGCCAGTCCTGGAGTCTGGCGAAGGCCCTGATGGATGCTCTGTGTCGGAAGCAGAGATAGAGCCAGGGCCGTCCGACATTTCCCAGCTGCCTTCAGAGTCAGAGATAAGTTGGGAAGAAGAACAGCTGGGGCCTGTTCCAGATGTGTGTATGCACAGAACTGTCAGGAGAGGAAAACAACTGAGGAACAGGGGCCGACTTGGGAAGAAAGGCACACGTGGACGCTGAATGGCCCCTCCCTGGCTGGGGAATAAATAGAAGGAAAAGGGGAGTGGTGGTTGCAGGAGACAACAGTTCGTATTTCTTTCGGAAGGTTTACTTATCGTGGTTCATACCTCAGAGTCTTCTTGCCAGGAATTAATTTACAGCTTTGTGACTGGAAGCTCTCAGCCCGGCAATTATCCAAAGATTGATTAGGTCTGTTATTGCAATTAATCCTTGGAAGGATTATTGCCTGGACTTTTCTGTGTGTGAATGCCATGAATTCACAGTAGTTAAATAAAGAGGGTTTTTTCAGGACAAGGAGTCTGTTTCTTGGTTCTGCTAAGGTTGGGTCAGAACAACTAACATGTTTCTAGTAGGAAACAGAAAATTAACATTATTAGTCCATTATTGTATGTTTTAGTAAAAACATGCTATTCAGATTTTGCATGATAAACTGATACTTATTTACAATCAGCTGCAGTAGGACTCAATAGGGACTGAGATGAAGATCTAAAGCTAGAACTTAGCCTATAGTAATCCACTTGAACAGTGCTCCCTCAGAATTTATACACAGGGATTCATTTACTTGTGCACCTTTCAATGTAGTATAGTATCCCCAATCACTTATGCATGAGAAATACCATGAGTTGGAGGAAGGAAGAAATGGGGAAGAAGGAAGGAAGAGGAAAAAATGGAGGAAAGAAAGGAATGGAAGGACTGGGCAAGAAAGTAAAAAAGAGGAGGAAAGGGGAGAAAGAAAGGGGAAAGATCTAAAAATTAGAACCAGCAACAACCAAAGCCAACAACCAAATAAATCATATGAAACAAAATGATGTGTGAACCTGTTCTGAAGCATGAAAAGTAACTTGATAAGGTTTATAGCACAAAAGAAAAAATTAGGTAGTGTAGAAAAGTCATATAGAGGCATCCTTCGTTCAATGTTGTTCTATTTATTGTACTTCATTTCCTGCTTAAATAATGAATTCGGCTAGTAATGAAATTGTTATTTCCACAACAATGTCTGGAGCAGTTGATAACATCTCAGCTATGATCCTGTCATTAGGTTCAAATTAAAACCCCAATCAAAGCTCATTCTTCATCTCATGTACTGGTATCTTACTGGACATAATTTCAATAGCCAGTAGTTTGCTCAATTAAAATAGAATATCTGAGGATTTGGGGGAATTCTTAATTAAAGGGAACTGAAATCTGGCTTGGTCATCTTTGCTTTGCGGGGCACAGACTGCTTTTCCCGAATTAAATATGACAAGTTGTCTTTTGCCCTTTTTCCCTTTACCAAGAATCATGGAAAGCTATAATTGATGAACAAGCCTTTATGACCCTCAGCATAGAGGAATAAGCCTTAAACCCCACCTTTCCTAGTGAATAAGCTCTAATTAAGGACTAGAGTGAGCATGAAAGTAAAATACCTCCTTTCCTCAAGGTGAGAAATGTAGACACCGGGATGTAGTTAATAAGGAGAAAGAAGACCAGACAAAACTGCCTTTCTTCTCCCCCAGTTAAGTTGTGGCAATTAGACTGAATGGTAGGCAGCAGAGGAAGTAAATTGCATTCTGGAGACTCCTGCAGAATTTTTTTTTTCTTTAGCAGCCGGAAGGGATTTCTCTGTCTGCCAGCTTTTAAATGAAAGATCGGCCACCAGACCTCAAAAGGGTTAACCAGGTGCTGTGGGTTTTTTTTTTCCCTTCCTCCTGGGCTATTTGCAGTGAAACAGTTTCTGAGGAAAGGCTGACCTACCTGCATTCTGGTAGGACTGGCTCAAGTGAGTTAAGTTTTACCTCTGTGCTCCCTTTCTGCTTAATGCAGGAAGAAGGGGCGAGCGGTGGGTGAAGATCAGCTGAGGAGAGAGACAGTCTCTCCCTCCCACTTTTTTGGTGGCATTTGCAGTGGAAGGGACTGATGGCCACTGGGGAGGACATTGAATGGCTTGATCTGCCTGGCAAGTGGACCTATGGAGTTTGCAGGGACGGGAGAATCTTCTTTATCAAGTAAGTTTGGTTTGTGCTTTGTTGTTGCTGTTTTCTGTAGTACTTCAGGCTATAAGGATGATTGTCTGAGCTGGATGTAACTCAACAAACTCTCATACATTTCTTTCAGTCCCTCTGCTTTTAGGTTGCTGGTAATAGGATAATATATGTAGAAATATTTTCTGAAAAATATCTTCTCTTTCCAAAACAGAAGAACTAGATTTAAATCTAATGTGAGGCATGAAGCATCTAGGGAATCTTTATATATGACTTACTTAGAACTAAATTTGATGAACCTGTTTGTATGTGTAGATTTTGTTTTTGTTTATATAATCTGAAATAAAAATTTAATCTGATAATGGTTCTCTGTTTTTCTATCCTGCCTTGTTAGCATTTCTAAGGAAACCCTCCCTTTAAAAAAAAATAGTATTAGATTAGTTCTGAAAAGTTCTTATCTGGTTTGCTGAACCTGCTGTGTTATCTACCAAGCTAGTGTCAAATAGCCATAAACAATGCTATCCTACACATGGTTGAGTAGAAGTAAATTCCACTGAATTCCATGGGGCTTTATCCCTGATTAGCTATAGGAATGTAACCTAAGAAGCTCAGTTGTGAATCAGGAAATTGCCATTTCAAATTTTGCTTCTGAGTCATGAAATGGCTTTATCATTTCTCCCCCTTCAGCTTCTATTCCCCACATTAGACTTAGAGGGCTCCAACCCTGCTAAATTTTCAAGTGTTATAACCATGTTAACTTTCTTACATCACTAAGAATATGGAAAATATCATGAGCATTTAAAAGCATCGTATAATGACAGAATTACAAAGTCTTACAATAGAGGGTGGTAGGATAAAGTATTCTAGTTTCTAATTTTGTCAGTTATGTCTTCCTTCCCCCCTTCCCCCAAATATTCTATTTGGCATTCTCTTCCAATTTTCTGTTCCCTAAGAGTTTGCTCAACAATCATTGGTTGGGTGTTTTTCTCCCCCTTAAATATACTGTTGGCAGCTCTTCAAACTTTGAGCATCCTTGGGTATAGATGGTCCTGTTTTTGCTACATAAAGATGTATGGAGAATTTGGAGAATGAGTTCTCTCTGCACGTATATATCTCTTCCCCTGTCGATAAAACTACAGGGCTGTGATGTAGGTTTTTGGGAAAAGTAGCAAGATTTAAAAGGGGATTATGATATATAGTTGGTATAACCTTTGTTCTGGTATCACACTTAGCGATAAGCCTACTGTGCTAAGATGGAGGGTAATTGTTCTTGATCTTTGAAATTGAAAATGGTGATGTTCCATACATTTTAAATAATTCGTTTGGACTTGCTTATAGTGATGAAACAAAATCTACTTGCTGGACTCATCCAGGCAGTGGCTATTCTATCCAGAGTGGGCACTTTTCCTGGCCAGGTAAGAAAAAACTTAGCCTTTTATTACCATGCATTCATTATAATAATAGCTGACATTTGCTACTGCACAGTTTTCCTCATTTGCTGTTCATAATAAAACATCTCTTGACTTGTTTCACTCTGGTGTCATACAGATGCATTGCTTCTCAGATTCCTTTTCCCCAGCTATGGGTGACTGGAGGACTAAGGAGAAGCTCCAGTTTCAGAAAAGCTGCTGTTGGCTAATGCTCTGGATGTGAACAGTATTCAAAACAATTTCCAAAACACATGTGTGAATGTCAGGCTGGATTGACCAATATTATTTTGGTGGATGCTAGGTTGTAATTCTATGTAACAAGGATCTATATATTTTTTCCCTCTGTTGATGGTCACCTCCTGCAAATATTATCTCTGGCAGGCCTCATCAGTTACCAGTGAATAGTGAAGAACACCAAGTGTTGGGCAAGATCATCTATTCTGTCTGTTTCTTATATCCTCCTTTTTTTCCTTTTCACTCCATATTTTTCTCATTCCTTTTCCTTGCTTCCTCATCACAAGCCACCAAGGAAACAGATTTCTTTTGTTCAAAAGTTTGAAGTGATCACTAGAACAAAACTTTTGAAATTGGACTAGGACAAAAGTAACCCTAGTGCTCCAATGTGCATACTATTAACTATAAACTGAAGAATATGTACAGGTACTCCTCGACTTAGGACCACACTTGAGCCCAGATTTTATGTTGCTAAATGAGACAGCTGAGTGAATTTTGCCTCATTTTACAACATTTCTTTCTACAGATGTTAAAGTGAATCGCTGCAGTTGTTAAGTTAGTAACATGGTTGTTAATTGAATCTGGCTTCTCCATTGACTTTGCTTGTTAAAAGATCACAAGGAGGAGATCATAGGACCCCAGGACACTGCAACCATCATAAATACGGGTCAGTTGCCAAGCATCTGAATTTTGACGTGACCATGGGGATGTTGCAACCGTTGTAAGTTTGAAAAACGGTCATTAGTCACTTTTTCAGTTCCATTGTAACTTCAAATGGTCACTAAATGAACTGTTGTAAGTGAAGGACTACCTGTATGAAGTTTATAGAACCAAGTAGAATTTCTTTCATGGTAGTATTTGAAGCCATATTTAAATTATTAAGTTATATTTTGCAGAGAAGTCAGTCATCTTGATGATTGGCCATTTGTTCATTTTGTCCCAGTTAACTAGCTCCTGCAATCTGCATCCCAGTCAAGGAGTTGAACTGGGGGATTGCAATTGCCACATCTCAGATGAATACTAAGCTAGTTAAATATTTAACAATATAACACCAGAACATTGTGACTAAAAAAAGAGTGAACACAGACTAAAGAGACTATAAGAATCATAGTATGAAGACAAGTAACCAAAATCATTGCCTTGTTATCCCTTTTATAGAAAAGTTTGATTAAGCACAGTTTTTAGTCTGAGCAGCAGGATATTGCAATTTACTATTCCAGAATATCACATTTTTTAAAGTTCGAATCATTAATGTTGAACAGTATCTCACACTTTGAACTTTGCCAGACACTTTACACTATATAAGAATGGGGTTATAGCAGCTACACAATAATGCTCAGCATTTCAGATTTGAAGGCAAAAATAATGCTTTGAAAAGATGGGAGTGCACTTGTACCATCCATCTATAGCTCCTTGATTTAATAGCAGCATGGTCCAAGAAAAATATGTTTGGGATTTTAGGGTAGAAGTCTATACTAAAAGTTTGTTTACAAGATTGTTCAATTTTTTTGCAGAAATGTATTAGGCAATATCAGCTTTGGGTTTTTTAGCATTGAATGTACTAAGGAAACCTAGATAGCATGTTTAAAATACACATTCCATTCACAAATGAAAACAAATGTTTCCATGACCTTTGAAATACCTTGCAATGACAAACCTTTTAAAATCATCCTCTGGAACTGTCTGGAACTGAGTATATTGAGTTCAAGTTATAAGAGCAGATAGATATAAGACAAAGCTGATGCAAATAAATATTTCTAGTCTCTGTGACGATTCTGAGTGCACAACTTGCAAGTATGACTGTGAAGATGAATTCTGCATTCAGTTTTACCACCCTGCTGAAGGAAAGATAGATTCTGTAAATATAAATTGGGAAACACAAAGTGCTCTCATTGTTACTATCTGGCCCTCTTTCTCCCTGTGTAACTACTGTCATTTAATGAACTCCAACAATACCCATGGGTTTTTCTTCTTTCTTGTTTTCATAAGAATGGCATTAAATTCAATGATTTAGAATATTTGGTTCTAGATCATCCAGTAAATCTGAGTGGGAATTTGAAGACATTCACTCTAATTCCCAAATTCCTGATGGCTACAATCTCATATGAAAAACCATAAGTTACAGTAACATGCTATACACATTCATTTTAAATATCTGCTGTGCTCAGGAATGTAGACAGAAAGCTAAATATTGAGTATTTGAAGTTTATTCCCAGAGCAGTCCTGTTTATTCATGTGGCAGCTTGTAAAGACACAAAGTTAAGAGGAAAAATTGAAGAAAAACCTCCAAAACGTAATTAAGACCAACGTATTTCAGAACATCCTCCTCCCCAGAAGCAAGTATGCCAGTGAGTTCAGCTTCAACTATTCCCATAAGTGTACAGTATGCATGATAAGAAAGAGTATAGGATCAAGCCTCGCTGAAGCTTCTATCTATACTCTTCAGAGTCAGCTATCTATACTCTGGAGTGGCATGAACATCTGTTCGTATTTTAATCAAGATGTTAATTGAATGTTTCTATTGGTTAACTGTGCTTCTTGCATTGGCATCTTCCAGATAACTGGAAATATCTTGAGCATTCTGGAATTTGCAGTGGACCATAATGGTAGTGGGAATGACTTTGGGAGACACAAGGAAGACCTGCAGCTTAGACAGTGTCTGAAGGAGGGATGTCAGGTATAGAAAGCATCTTAGAAAGGACCCTCCCTATTTTTCAGTAGAATAAAAGGGAGGGAAGAGTAATTGCATAATTGCAAAATACTGTTACTGTAACCTTCCAATAAAGTAGTCTTAGTACTCATGCTTGGTGCTCCTTGTTTTGAAGAGTTGATATAGAACCAGTTTGCTATCCAAAAATGCAAAATAGAGTAAGAAAAAAATAGGGATTTTGCTGTGTAATTCTGAAAGTCAAGCTGTATATGTGTTGGGAGGGGAAAATATGAAGATGAATTCACTTCAGGTGCAATTTCCTGAGAGGCAACATTCCACATAGCAGAAATTCAGGTTTATAATTAGGAAGTCAGAGAGTTGTTAGGAAGGCCTCTTTCATCAAGGATCTCACTCTCCTACCAGGATTTACTCATGGATCTCCAGGTTTGCTCTTGATTGTAGCCCAAATTTTTGCAGGTGAGATAAGTTAACCTAATTCAGGCAAGCTACATTTACCATTTTGGATTTCAGTTGGCAATTTGTGTGAAAATCAGGAAGTGGAGTGAATTCAAATACTGCAAAATCCAAATTTTGCCTGCAGATTACATTTAAAGTGCAGAGATGATAGTTACCCTTACTACTTTAAAAAAAAAATTATTGTTTCATCTATCAAGTTACATTTGTAAACTTCTCAAACCAGCAAACATATTACCCTTCATATTTTCAGAAATAGATTTTTTTTTCCAGAATGTCTTTGTGTCTAGGATGCAAGTTAAATTTTAATATATGAAAAACCAGAAGGTTGCTTATTTATTTTCACAATAAATTCCATATTGCAGATATCACAGCTACAATATTTTGATCTAATTTTTGAAAATGTGATTTCTTTCCTCATTTTTCTTTCATCCTGATGAAACCTTTTGAAGCTTGCACAGTCCGTTGTCCATTTCGTTTGGTTTGAATAAGCTATTGTCCTTGTATGGGTTTTGCGTCTTTCTTATTTCAAAATCGAAAGATGTTCTTTTTAGAAAAAAACCCCTAATAATCAGAGTCCTCCCAGTGCAGCTGAGGTCCCTTCCTCTGTGATTGGACAGGGCAGTTAAGATGATGCACGCTGAGCAATCTTTTCTCTCCTCTTTCTTTGTATGTTACAATTGGTGATAAATAAAATGCTTCTTGGCAACAGGTAAGGAAAGGGGGCAAGCAATAATATACAGAGGACAAATCAGGCTAGGGGATGTATTTTATTGGCATTGTCAAAATGATAAATGATTGTGAATTTGATTAGACTGGTATCTCTAATAAGATGGGATATTGAACTTGACCAGGCAGCTTTCAAAGTCCCAAGGGCTGGGAGATCCTTGAAAGCTAATATTTTCTCTTAAAGGATTGGTGGACAGAAAAAGCTTGATTTCTTATTTTAAGAAAACCTACACTAGTGTATTGGGAAAAAGGAATCAAATCCATAGACATCTGCAGGTAGCAACTAAGATTAAACTAGAATTGCAACTGCATTATTACTGTCTGCCAAAAATACTTGCGTTGTTAGCTCTTGGCCTTATGACGAAGATCAATATATATTAACATCTAATTCTTTTGCCTGAATAATACATCTTTTGTTAATGTTCTATATGCTGTGTATATTGCCTAGAATTGTTTGTGATGTATTTAGATAAAGTTATCCTCAAGCTGATTAAGTGGATTCCTATAAACAATGTCTGATTCTGATTTAACACACAGACACACGCATATACCCTTAGGATTTCCTGGTGGCTGTACATCCATATATGAGCCAGGTGTGACCCTGATTAACTTTTCTTTTTCATCACTTCCTGCCCAATTTTCAGTTTAGCTCTTACTATGTAACTGTTGTATAATAATTCATTTAGCACTCATTTTAATATGCAATTTATGGTTTGGGGATTCTGTTCCTTAAATTTTGTTGTCTAGTTTGACTGCTAACATGAATAGAAAGACATAGTAAAACATAATAAACAATTTTCTATGAAACCCATAGAAAAAAATTATTTCTAAAAATGTTTGTTTCTCAAATTTCATTTGTAACAGCTTGGAACAGAAAAATTTCTAGTGCTAATAGGTTAACGTTATCATTGTTTCTTCAGATATGCCCAAAGGCTGGGAAATGGACACCACGTCAATGGGAACTACTTTTTTCATCAAGTAAGTTGCTAATATTTAGAATAAACCAAAATGATAATTGGTTATTATCAATTAGAAATATTATGGGTGAGTTGTTCCTGGGAGTGGGAATTAGGGCAAGTGGCTGCTTGGGAAGGGATTGCACTCAACCTAAAGCAGAGGTATCAAACTCACGTCGTCATGTCATCCAGTGACATATTGTGACTTTTTTCCCCTTCATTAAAACAGGGTGGGCATGGCCAACATGTGACGCATCCGGCCTGCGGGCTGCATATTTGACACCCCTGACCTAAAGGAACCAATAATCCCACATTGTAGTTGAAAGCTACAGGGGCTTGCTATTGATATGTACATCTATTACTGAGTCATGGGCATGTTAGTGAATGTTTTAAATATATTGTAGTTTGCAAAATAATACATTGCATAGTAAATACTGTCTAAGGCCAACATCCTCAGGTATCTGTCTCCTCAAGGATACCTCTTTTTTGTCTGCTACATTCCTTGCAGATCAAACTTTTTATGGTTCTAAACCAGTGTTTCTCAACCTTGGCAATGGAAGATGTGTGGACTTTAAGTTGCAGCCAGCATGGTAGAGAAACACTGCTTTTAAAAAGTCTTTGAATTAAAAACTGGAAAACTGGCATTCTGTAAAATTACAGAATGTACTCTTCTCCAGTATAATCTGTTTTTTTTTAATAGTATCAAAAGTCCAGATGTCTGTAACAGCAAAACTAGCTGGGGGCACCTGTCGGGAAGGTGATCTCTATTAAGCAAGAAATTAAAACAAGTGCTCTTAAAATATATGATAAAGTTTCTGAAAATAAATTACAAGACATATCCACATTTAGAAAGTAATGTTTTCTTCTATCCCACCTGGAGTTTTCAATGATGTTTATGGATTACATATACGTTAGCATCAATGTAATTTCATGCTATAATGAAGCTTTATCTCCAAAACACACAAAAGAGTTAAATATAAAATGTAAGAGGACCCTTTATAAAACTGTGGGTCTGTGGACATTTTTAAGATAAAATATTAGCTAGCATTTGCTTCTTGAAGCAGTTGTGTATTGAGCTGTGTACAGTTGTTGAAACTGTATTTGATTTTTATTTACTGTTGCCACCAATAGTCAAAACAGTTTGCAGTATTGCACTGAATTTTGCTTTTTGTTTTTAATTTTATGAGCAGTGGTATTGTATAAGTGGCACTGTATAAGTATTTTTACTGTATACTAAAATTAGCATAGTTAATTTTCATAGCTATAATAAAATCTTTGAGTTAAGCAAAACAGGATTTCTCAACAGTATAGCTATGAATGATTTTCTGTAATTGACAGGCTGTTCATTGTGAAAGATAGGCTGCTAGACTATATAGATCCCTGATCTAATCTTCTGATACTTAAGAGCTTCTGATCTTCTGATACTTAAGATACATCTACAGAGGAACACCTAACATTTTTTTTTATTGAAAAAGTTTTTCGAATACAATTTCCCCCCCCCTTTTTCCCCCCTCCTCCCTAACCCCCCCTCCCCCTCCCCTCCCCCTGTGGCTTCTTCATAATAAAACCCAGATTCATAACAGATTATATAACACTTTACCATCCCCTTACTCCATCCCCATATACTGACCCTTTCTTTCTAATATTATTATATCCCCCTTATACTATACATTTCAAAATGACATTCTACTATAACATTATATAATAAGTCCTAATTTAACATAATAATGTTATTATATCTCCCAGTTTAGCGATTTCTGCTCATAATCTACCCTTTTTCTACCCCCCATACATATATCTCTTAAATCAAATCTTTTATGTATATTAGTATAACATTTCAAAGCAACCTTCCGCTATAAAACTATATAATAAATCCTAATTTAACATTTATTCAATTGATAGTCTACCCATTTCCTTCACCCCCATCGATATATCTCTTAACTCCAATCTTTTACATATATTCATATCTAAACATAATATCCCTTTTCTTAAACTAAACAATCAATAAACTAACCTGTCTCCACCCACTTTCCTACAAGACTACCATACTTAATAATTCGTAATATCTTTATTCTTCTACCCACACCACTAAAAAATATTCCCTTATGTAAATAAAATCCTCTTAAAAAAGACTTTAAGCTTGTAATCCATATGATATCTTCTATAATGTCTTCTGATGCTTGATTATTCTGCTGTGAATGGGTGGTATATAAAAAAATGAATATTATGCAGTGGAAAAGTATCTACTGCGTGCTACTGTAACAAGTCTGTTGTTATAAACTGAGATCAGCCTGTAACCTCAAAGCCATCGCTTTAACCAGATCAGGTGACATTTTGCATTAAATAAATGGTGGATGCAATGAACAAAATAGTTGTAATTGCATTGGATTCCTAACACAATTGTCTTGGATGGAGTTGTATCTCTGAATCAAAGCCATCAGCCATTACTGATATGCAGTCATGCTCATGTAGTTCAAGTAGACTATTAACCATTAGTCACCATTCTGTTCTGGAGCACAGATCAAATTACTAATGCTTATGTTTAAAGTCCTGTATGGTTTGATTTGTTCTTTCTCTCTTCCTCCTCTCCTTTCCCCCTCCACCCATTACACATCTATGCTCAGGATTTTTAAAGTCTATAAACATCAGAATGAGAAATAAGAATCCACATATACAGCTGTATTATTATGTGTAGACAGCCTGGGAGGAAGAGAAGAATCTCTTCTATTCTATATCTTTTCTTATTAGAACATTAATTATTACCAGTTATGTAGCAGTGCAGATCAAAAATAATGCAATCAAAATAATATGAACTTGGATATTGGTTTTTCTCTTCCCCCATCCTCAAACTGAACTGGAATTAATCATGCAATAGCATGATTTGGGAGCATACTGTGTGTGTCTCTGTCTCTTTGTCTAGATTAATTGGAAATTATATTCATGTCTGCAATCACAGTCAGACTCTGATTATAAAAACAGGTTGGTGTAAGGAAGATTTTAGAAGCAGTTGCAACCTAAATTGAATGCTTGTGCCTCTTCCCATAATCTGTTTAAATTCTGAACATGCAAACATACATCTTGTTTTCAACCTTACGACTCATCAGACTCTGTGACTTCTTGTCTAATTAAATTATCTTGAAAATCTGAAACCTCAATATTTTTATAATTGTTACCCTAATATCTATATTTTGTGGTAACCAAAGTCTGTGTGTGTGCATTGATTTTAATGTAAAGAGTCAACATCAGTTTTGTTGGCTTTTCTATATATTTTCAAAAACCTGTTGGTTACAGTTTAATGTAAAGTTAAAGCGTTTTTTTAAGCTTTTCATACTTTTAATTGAAGCCTGCCACTATTTGATACATTATTACTTACTATGTCTTATTTATTACCTGTCTTATCTGTCTTCTCCATATACTTAACCATATGATTAATACTATAAGATTGGTAAATAAAAGGTTGGCTTCCCTTTCCTTGAATTACTCAAATGCTAACTGTATCACAATAAGCCATCATTTCTTGAATAAGCCACAATGCTTAGGTTTACCCACTACCTTACAAAGTATGGTTTAAAGCAATAATGATTAGGTTTGTGTAACACACTAAGAATCAAACTCTATTTTGTTTCAGTACAACTGTTATATTTTAATGCATACCAAGTGAAAAAGTAATAATATGACAATATTGCTACTAGCACTTCTTTTAACCATGTATTGTTGTGGCTTCCAAATTCTAGTTTCCATAAATCTCCAATAGCAACTACAGTATTTCAAATTTGAATAACAAGATAATCCTAATATTTTGGTTAAAGAGCGTCTATAACAGACCTAAAGTATGTGTGCTGGCTTGTGGTTTGTATGCAGTATTTATATTGTTTTTATAAACTGCCTACAAGCAGTGCTGAATGGAGGTTGAATGCATTTTATAAATATCAATCATCTAAAACATTTATATCAAATTATTAGCAACTTTCAAACAGTACCAATATTGAAAACGAAATCAAACATAAAAGGAAGTGATGCCTGAATGTAAATTAGTTTTCTCTGAAGTGTTTTTTGGAAGCGGGTTGGTATGTTTATTTGAACTGGTTCCAAGAGCAGTTGAGACTCTTTCTAGCAAATCTGTTCAAAGTAATATCATGATATTTAAGCTTGACCTTCACAATTGAAAGAGATGCTTAATAGCTAAACTTCCTTCTACTTTGTTTCTCTCAGCATTGGTGAATGTGTATTAGATTGCAGCAACTTAGGAAACAATTGGCCTTTCACCATCTACTACTTAAGGCTGGCCAAAGATCAAAAATGTCCCATGGAGAGCAAATGCAAATGCAGAGGCAGGGAATAATGTCATATGTTTATACAGTAACTAACATTTGAAACCCTGATCCTTGATTGTGGATTTTGGAAGTAGTTGCAACATACACAAACACAAAAGTAGGGTTACTGGTGTTCATAAGCAAGCTGAGAACATTGTGGGCATTTGGGGAGGGTTTAAAAAAAAACATTTTGAGTCTGCACATTTTAAATTGCTGGAAACTACAGGTCAATGTCTAATCTAGTAGGTACCTCTATTAAGCAATCACGTCAAAATCTGGAAAAGTGTGCTGCTTAAAAACTCTGAGGAGGAACAGTATGATTAAGGGCTGTGGACCATGTTAAAAGTAAATTTGTCTGAATCTTGCATTCTTCCAGGGAACTTTCTCTGAATTACTTCAATCCTTGAAATTTATTTGGTGATGACTTGAGACAGCCCTTTTTCAGTTGCTGTGTCCATGTTTTAGAAAAACATTCTACAGCAGGGGTGTCAAACTCACAGCATCATGTTGTCATCATGTGACATATCACTACTTTTTCCCCTTTGCTAAACTGGGGTGGACGTGGCCAGCACATAACACATCTGGCCTGTGGGCCACGAGTTTGACACCCCTGTTCTACAGTATTGAGATCTGCTAAGACACATCTTAGATGTCCTTGCATTACACACACAATATGTCTGTCAAGGTTCCAAGTAACATTCCCAACGAA